CGGGCGCTATAGATTTGTACGCCTATTTAACGTTTTACGTAAGGCTTATAGCGGCCGAACCCTCTACGGCGACGGTCTACGTCTATCTAAGACCTAGGAAATGGATTTCGTTCGTCGCGTAGCGAGCATAACGGAACTTATAATAGAGGTAGGATACGTAATTATCGTAATGTTCCCTAACTAAGAGTAGCAATAGTATCTAAACTATATCGCGGAGACAGCGAGGAAGTTTAACTATAACTGCTTTAACGCCTACTTCGATACTACGGAGCTAGCTAAGAAGATATAATCGTTTATAGCGGGATTAAAGAACGACGAAGTCTTTCCCTAGGAGGAATATCTTCGGGATATTCCCGTATCCGAGAAAGCCGCAGATATAAAGATTTTCGGCGACTAGTCGGTATATATGCTTAGCTATTCCCTATAATAGATTAAGGAAGCAGTCGAAGGCGGTTAGACCGACCTCCTAGCCCCGATAGACGATTTCCTAATAGCGGCAGTTCCTATACTGCTAAAGGCGGCGGTGTTACGGCACTAGATATAGGCAGTTATTCTCCTACGTATTAACGATAAGACTAGAAAAATCCTTTACGTCGGATACTATAAGTACGATAAGCAAGCTAAGTAGTTAATCCGCTTCCTAGGTAGGGAACTTAAGGACAATGCCGGTTAGGTAGGCGTCCCTAATAGGCGCGGCTATATTGTGTCTACTAAGGAGATGCCCGCTATGCCTCAATCCGACCCCCGTAAGATAGCGAGTGTAAGAATCTTAGCAGGACTAGACAGCTTAGACGGAGGCAAAGCGGGCACCCCTAGCGCTACTATAGTCGTTATCCCTACGGCTAGCACCCCTAGCGCTGCTATAGTCGCTAACCCTATAGCTACCGCCGCTAACGATATCGCTATTGCCACCAACCCTGTATCTATCGCTAATATAGACAAGAGTAAATCCCAACTCCCTATCGACATCCTTCGCGATAAAGGCTAGAGTAGCTTATTCGTCTAGATCGCTCTAGCAGAGCTTACTAGGAAATAGTAGCTAGGAAGCGAGCCGGAAGAGTTGTAGATATTCGTAGGAGTCCTCGCCTATATAGTCGCAGCGGTAACAAAGGAATAGAATTACGTTAAGGACAGGGAGTCTCGCGAGTAGTTATTAGAAGACGAGAGAGCCTTATACGACTACGCTATGTCTATCGCAAAGAAATTCCTCTAAGCCTATAACGTCCTTCCCGAGGAAATTCGCAACGACATTATAGCCTATACTAAAGACAATATCGACTAGGACAACGAGAATTTAGAAGAATAGAACGGAAAGCTTACCGATACGGAGGACGTTGTTAACTATGTGCTAGAACTCTCCTATTTCTAGAACACGGACGGTACGGTTAAGGAAGACATAGAACAGTCTACCCTTCGTCTACTATAGGCGATAGACGCGATCTAACGCTCTAATACTAAAGCTAATTCCGAGAAAGCCGCGATTCGGGCGATATAGGAATTGCTATAGGACTAGGCTACTAGACTTACCTACGACTCCCTTACGGACATTATAGCCGGGCTCGCTAGATTAATCCAGTTAGGAAAAGAGGAAGACCGCGCCCGTATCGGCACATTTATCGCTACCGCCTTTAACGCCCTATACGTTATATATAGGAAGAATGCTATTAGATTCCTAGAGCGCTAGGCAGCGGCTAAAGGCTTAGAATTAGTAACCTAAAATTACTCGATTATAGCCGAGTAGGCGACGCGCAACGCGCAAGTTATTAAAACCTAGACGGAGACTCTGCGGTAGACGACGGTTAGTCTATTAAGTATAGTTAGCACACCTATACGAGAATACGACAGCATTGTAAGTCTATTACAGGTATAGTCTACGTAGTCGCGGACATTTCGCGACTAGGGGATTTTGTTACAAAGCTAGGAGGGAAGGGACACCTAGGCGGCTGCTACTAGCCGCCTTATAGGCATACTTCCTCCGTAGATAGATAGACATAATATGAATCAATACACTTCAAAACCACGTTTCGAACTATAACAAAGGCTTAATCTAAGCAATAGTAGCTCTATATCCGACCTCTCTCGCGGTATATAAAGAGACGCTATATTAGCTAATTATCGATACTACGTATTCGACTAATCTTTACAACCTCGAGCTACTTAATATAGTCGCCGCTAGACCTATAAACGATACAATTAAGCTAGGTATTAGCCTTGTCCGTCCGAAGCCGAATAAAGCGGACTTCGTAAAGTTATTAAAGTCGCTACGATAAGGCCTCGAACAAGCTAACTATCTAATACCTCTTATCGTTAGCACTAATCGAGAAGAGGTACTAATACTAGCTATCGATAAGGTGTTTCCGGAGTTAAAGAACATCGTTTGCGAGTAGTATTTAAACTAAGACGTCCTTACTCGCGTACGTAAGGAGAGAGGCGAGTTTATATAGATTAAATCTAATAGCTACTAGACAGACAGTCCTTTAACTGCTACGTTTATAAAGCTCTTCGTTTATACTATCTATAGCGATACCGAGGAAGAGTTTAATAGTAACGTTGCAAAGCTAGATAGCGTTTATCCTATATTCTAGTCGTACCTCTATAAGAACTAGTAGTACTATAAGACTCGTATTATTAACTACTAGACTAACTAGGTACTACACTTCGGAGCGAAGACAACGTTACGAGTCGAGTCCTACTATAGCCGTATTAAGCTCTAGCTTAACTATAGTAGCCGATATGATATCTTTACGCTCTTCGAGTCCCTTCTTAACTAGTAGCAAGAAGGCTACGATCGCCGCTATACCGCTATAGCGGACAACTTAAAGCGGTATAATAAGCTACTTACTAGCGTATTCTAGGCTTCTGTCTCTCGAGTTATAAGCGACTACTGCCTTCTCGAAGTAGCTAAGCTATAGAAGCGTACCCTTACCCTACTAAGAACTAAGGTTAACGATAATAGCAATAAGATTAAGTACTCGGCCTACTCGTATAGCTATATATACTACCGCTATAACGATTACCTTACTAAGACGTACGGCTACCCTTATAAATACGAGATTATAAAGCTAATCGAGACAGGCGGTAGCCGCGTAGTACTATTGCCTTACTACTTCTACGAGCATTAGCTTATTAACTTTAGTAAGCGGCTACTATGTCTACGAGAGCCGAGGGTTATATTTAGCAACCGTAAACCTCTTACTAGCGGAGCGACACTTTACTTAACAAAGCGTATACTAACGGCTCGAGAACTTAACGACTTAGCTATTACTACGAAGAAGTAGAAGCGAACAAGTACTACTACTGCTAACTTTACTCTCGAGCTAGGCGTATTACTTACTTAGCTAAGAACGACGGTCTTAGCTTACTATAAGTATATAAAGAGCTAGTGCCGTAACTAATAGTGCCCCTACTAGAAGGCTAACCGACCGTATAGACCTGCTTATTACCCTTATAGCTTCGAGTACTATAATCTACGTCGAGAAGTACTCGAATAGGCACCTCCGGCTACTCCGCAACCTCCTTCTAAGCTAGAACTTCTACGCTAAGAGCTAAGTAATATAAAGGTACGCGAAGAACAGCGTTTAATCGAGCAACTTAAATATAGTCGTTAGTAGGCGGTATTGTATAAGCAACAACAACGATAAGCTACTTAGCAATAGTACTAGTAGTCGCTTATATAGCTAGTAGGAAGGCCGCTTTATTACTAGGTACTCTAGCAACAATACTATTAGTTTACTTAGCAATAGTAGCATACTAGTTAGTAATAGCACTATTAGTTTGCTTAGTAATAGTAGTATACTTAGTAATAGTAGTATGCTTAGCAATAGCAGTATGCTTAGTAATAGTAGTATACTAGTTAGCAACTAAGAGACTAGTATAAGCTAGCATATATAGCCTCGCGTAGTTATAAGGCGGTAGGTCGCAATCCGATTAGACCTAAGTAGATAGCTAACAACTAACAATACCTTTAATTTTGCTATACTACTAATTTGCTAACAAACTTTAGCTTTATAGCTATATATAGTAGTATTGTAGTGGTTGCCCGGCTAGCGGGGCCTGCAGCGACGCGATTATCCGCTTCTACACGCGATTTCGTTAGGAACAGTCGATCTCGAAATCTTACATAATGCTGGGGCTCGGGCTGCCAGCTGGGGCTCGGGGAAGTATCCAAGCACGATCTACGCATCGATATGGCCTTGAAAGAGCCTCACGCGCACGTTGCCAGGGTGCAGCATTGTCAACAGGCATTGCGCCGTCGGCTCAGCGTTACCCGCGCCGCGCCGCGCCGAGACGAGAGCATGTCAAGGACGCTCGGCGAACGAACGGGGAACGCTCACGCTATAGTTCTATACAGTACACGTCTCACGCAAGAACAACAACGACGACACGTCCAACTTCCCAACGAGCATCGCATCGCATCGCATCGCAACCATGATTGCCGCTACGTGTCTGCCTCCTGCCTCACCCTCGCCCTCGCCCTCGCCCTGCCCTCGTCCTCGCCCTCGCCCTCGCCCTCGCCCTCTCCGTCTGCCGTCCGCTTTTAGCCTCATCCATCATAAGCACTGGCGATCTTCCACGCCTGACTCGTACCCTTGTACATCGCTCACCTATGCTCTGCTGCTCTGCTCCGTATCCACTACCCACTACCCACTACCCACAGCTCCCTCCTGGGCCGCTGTGCTGTGCTGTGCTGTGCTGCAAATCGCCGCCGTCTGCCGCCACGAGACGCGACGCCCTCCTCCTCCTCCTGCTACCGTACTGTACAGTCATTACTGTACAGTGCCTTACCGCGCCGGAACCTTCCCATGCTGTCGTCATCTACGCACCTGGGTATGCTGGCTGCAATACCCTCTCTGAACCTTGCGCCCACGCCCAACAGCTGTCGCCTCCCAGGCTTCCGATGCTGGTGAAGTGAATGCTCGGGTATTGCATGGTACCAGGGTTAACCGTGCCATACCAGCAACCCACGATTGCCATCGATTCAACATCCTTTGCAACCACCGATGGCCATAATCACTCTGTCCTCCCCGCCCATGAACCTACATCGAAGCATGGACTTGATTTCGCCTGCAGAAACCGCACTCTTCGGCCGCCGCCAGAGTACCGTCACCTGCTCGTCGTTCTCAACAACTTCGAGCTCCTCGCCTGACCTCACTACCGACACTACCGGCGAGTCAGTCCTCACGCCAGACAGCGACGATGACCGCGAGACCTCACCGGTAGTACAAGCGAAGATCGAAGAGCTGGAAGACAGCCTCAGCACCTTGGATGTCTTCGAGGACACCAAGCCCGCCATTGTCACCCTACCACAACCCAAGAAGCGAGGACGACCCCGAAAACATCCCATTGTTGAGCAGAAGAAGACTTCGCATGCGAGATCGAAAACCGGCTGTGGCACGTGCAGAAGGCGGAAAAAGAAGTGTGATGAGACCAAGCCAGTCTGCCAAAATTGCGCCAAGAACAACGTCGTATGCGATGGCTACGAGCCGAAGCAGCCATGGCGAAGTGGCAAGCAGAGATCGCTGCAATCCCTCTTTCGGTGTTCGGTGGGAGTTCCAGCAACGCTGCCACAGCTCATCAGAGGCGTCGACGGTCCTGTGGATCGAATGTTCTACCAATATTTCACTGGCCAGCTGGGCAGAGTGCTCTCACTGACTGACATGGAAAATCCCTTCCTCGAAATCATTCTACCCATGGCGAGAAGTCATGACGGCTTGATGCACAGCTTACTCTACCTTTCCGGCAGCTGCCTCCTAGCCGAGGGAGGACATCACCCTGATTGGGAGCAGCGCCAAGAATATCACTGCACCAAAGCCATGTTACTTCTCCGAGAAGACCTCAGTTCGTGGACCGATCCGGCGCCGGGAAGCTCGACTGCCGTCGTTCCAATCGGCGATCCGAGCATAGCTCAAACATTGATTTTGTGTCTACAGACCGTGTGCAGTGGCGACTTGCTCGGTGCATATCGTCATCACCTCGACGCCATGAAGGAAATGCTCACCACATCGAATCTCAAATTTCCCAACGAACAACTTCGCCACTTCATTCTCGAGTTTCTTCTCTACCACGATTATTCGAGTACGATTACCAGCTTGAAGAATCCGCTGGACCACCGCAGTATAGCGCTCATGGAAGACTTCGCATTGCCGGACTACATGATGCAGCCTCAAGCCGGAACACTGCTCGGTGTCCTGGACGGTCTTTTTGGCTACATATCGCGCATACGACTTCTGCGCGACCAGATTCGGCAGTACCGCGACCAAGGCGTGCAGCATTGGTATCCACACGTTGAAGAAGAGGCCTTCATTCTCGACGAGCTACTGAGGAATTGGACACCATCGTGTCCCCCCGATACTCCGCGCTTTGTCGCATCACTGCTGTACAAGCAATGTACGTGGCTGTACTTGGCGCGGACGACGTTGGCGTCACAGCGAGATCCACAATTCAAGCAAGCTGTAGACCAAGGATTGAGTTATCTGAGAATGTTGCCTTGGGACAGTGATGATGGATCAGGATCCATGCAGAGCATCTTGCTGATGCCCCTTTTCCTGCTTGGCTGTGCGGCTTTCGAACCCGAACAACGACCAGAGATTGCCCAGGCTTTCCAGAGGTTGCAGGAGTGGAGTAAGCTGGGCAACATCAAGTTCGCCAGACAGATCGTGGAAGAGGTGTGGCAGATGATGGATGACGGACGGCAGCATGAGACATGGGATTGGGAAACTATCATTGCGAGGAAAGGTTGGGATTTCTTGGTGACTTGAACGACATTCACGTCACTTCTACGACCGACAACATTAGAGGAGCTTTGATGAGACATTGCAGAGTGAGAAGAGATGGACCACCGTGCTCCACAGCGGAAAAGTTATTGCGTCTGCATATTCAAGCAGATGAACAGCACAGCCTCGGAAGGAAGAAGGCTGGACCGGAGAGGCGAGCGAAGCACGAAGTAAAGGATCAAACTGCCAGAGAAAGAGAGACGGGCGGAATATCATCGGGGCAATCATCTACCTCTACTGTGTTTCTGGAGGTTTTTTTTTCTAGCTTGGCGTTCTGATCCGGACCAAGTCTGAGGGTAATCTGCTTTGGGAGGGTATATTGATTAAGTGTATGGGCGGCCGATCTCGCACCACGACTTTCTGGTGCACCAAAACTGACGACAGAGACCCGTCCAGGAGCGCACAGGCTTGAGATGAGACGAGGGTATGGTATCAGTGAGCGTACGAGATGATGGTGGCATGGTATGAATTTTGGTCCTATTCCTTGAATGTACGATGTATGAATGAAGGCGCAGGAAGGATGTCTCGACTACCTCAAGGCGGCGACGTCTGCTTTGAAGTTGCGCCAGATGGCTGCGCTCTTTGGGTACTACTGTCCATGGTTTTGTTTTATAGAGGTATCTAGTGTTACTGTTAATAACCACCACGACTGCTGGTCTGAGACTGGTAGACAGCGCTTTGAACTTGGCTATAGCCTCTCTCTTTACGATCTACATGTCGAAATGTACAGTGCCGCTGCTACCCGCAGCTGTCGCTTCCTGCTTGAGAAGATGCTTGTTGCGTGTGATACATGGATGGCCTGACTTGGACACACACTCTGTAGAGGCGCTATGTATTTGGGGGCGCCGCTACCGTCATAACGCTGTTTGGGCAGCAAAGATGAAGTATGAGAGTAGACGGTGGAAGTGATCAAGCAAGAAATCCGCGATCCTGCTGCTCCCACAAGAGCTGATGGAGCGTTATCTGCGCTGGTAGTAATGTGATATGCCACGCCTTGCTTGCGAGACAGCACCTGGGCCAATCCGATCCATAATGAGCTGCATCTCTGCGGCGCGTTGCAGTTCGCCCGAGTGCGTCCGTGATCCGGTGAACACTGGACATGGGTGTCGTTGTGGCTGCGACTGCGAGATGCTGACTTGCTGTGTCGACGTGCCGCCTCCGCCCACCAACCGAAAGGTGTCGGGCATGAAGATGGAGAAGCGGTGCAAGGATGAAGCAGGAAGGTGTATACAGTATAGATGTCGCTTCAGTGCTGCTGCCAACCAACTGGAGAATTTCTGGAAGCCGCTGGTGAACAAGAAGAAGGCATTTCGACAGATTTCCTTGGTTGCTGGCCACACGTCATCTTGCAGGAGGTCGACAGGCAGCGTGAGTGGAAAGGCAAGGCAATGTGACCTGACGCCTTCTGCTTCTGCTGGATTTTCCCGTCACATCCTCAGCTGAACAGCGTGTTTCGCATTCTTCTGCGGACGTGCGCGGCATCTGAGTTGAAACGAGAGACAGAAGCCAAAGCGCGGTCGAGGTGAGAGTGGAAACGCCTTCCTCGCCGGCGCACTCGCTTTCACGCAGCACTCGACGTCTGCGCATCTCATCCGTTCATCCTCACACCACACCAACACACTCGCTCAGCCTGAGCGTGCGCACAGGCTATCAGCTGGAGGCGCAATCCAGCCGACAACCACACGCAGCCCCAGCCATCCCATCCCATCCTCTTCTACCTACCTAGTCTTGTCCGCCTGACTGAGCGGCGCCCGATCACCCGCACTATCAACACTTTAGGAGGCATCACTAGTCGGCAGTCATACGGGCGCACTACACGAGCAGCTCTTCGTCGACTTCGTCCTCGTCGAGCAGCTCCAGCTCTGAAGTCGCCACCGGCCACTGGACCAAGACCAAGCGACCGCCCGCCAACATGACGTCCGTCCGCGGTGAGCGCACCATCTATCGTGAGACTGATGTGGAGAGAGAATACGATCCGCCGCGCAGCTCATACACCACAATCAAGCGCTACAAGGTTCCCGAGTCCATTGCTCGCACTGTCTACGATAACGATGATACCACGACCAAGGACAAAGTCATCATCAGGCGCACCGAGCGCCGCGACTCTTCGCCTTCGCCAGCAAGATCGACCCGCACTCACAAGAGCCACAAGAGCCACCGTCATCACGACCATGATGATGACTACAAAACTGAGTACAAAGTGACGGAGAAGATCACGGAGCGCGAACGGTCCCGTGCGCCGAGCTCTCAAAGTCACAGGGACGACGTTGATATCAAGATCACGAGGACCGAGCGTGAGCGCGATCCATCTCCACGACGGGACATTCGATATCGAACTGTCTACCGAGACTATTCGCCAGAGAGACCGAGAAGCGAATATCGTGTGATCGAGCGCGATACCGAGATCACACGAGCGCCTTCTCCGCCTCCAGCAGATCGAACAGAGACCAGGGAGTGGAGGTTTGAGCGAGAGCGCTCATTCTCTCCGCCGCGTGAGCGAGAACGACCCTACGACATTGAGCGTTACAGCAAGAGCACCGAGTACTTCCAAGCGCCACAGCCTCAGCCCATTATTATCAGGGAATCCGCACCGCAAGCACCGATCATTATCCGAGAAGAGCGCCGAGAGCCCCAAAAGATCATCATTCGACGTGAAGAGCCACAATACGAGTTTATCGAGAAGAAAGAAATCGTCGAAGAGACCAAGGAAGACACCAAGTCGCTTGTGAAGCGAGAGGAGCCACCACCCCCAGTTCCAGTCCCAGTTCCAGAGACCAAGCCGGAAGAAGATTACTTTTATGAGCGCAGAGTTGTTGAGCGACGCCGACGAAGTGAAAGTTATGACCGTAAGACGGAGCTGCGACCTAGGGACAGCGCTTCGCAATACAGTAGCGACGATAGCTACGAATACGTGCGACGTGAAAAGGTCACAGACGAAGACGATCACCGACACCACAAGCGTCATCTGGCTGAGGGAGCCATCGCTGGTATTGGCGCCGCTGAAATTCTGAGACATCACCGCAAGAGTCAGGGCGAGGCCACAGGTGGACGTGGTCGGAACGCGCTCGCGGGTGCAGCACTCGGCGCGGTTGGGACTGAAGCGATCAGCAGAGTGCGAAGCATGCGCTCCCTTCGTCGCAATTCCCGAAGCAGATCTCGAAGTGACGATGGCGAGCCAAGGAGGCGCCGTCACAGGAAGCATCGCTCGCGGTCTCGATCAAAATCGCTTTCTCGTATTCAGCAGGTGGGTGGTCTCGCAGCAGTTGCCGGCATCGCCGCACTGGCTGGTTACGCCTTGAACAAGAATAAGAACAAGGAGACCATTATAGTGAATGACGGCCACCGACGAAGAAGTCGCTCTCGCAGACGCCGCCATAGTGTGGATACGTACATTTCCGACGAGGAGCGAGAGCATCGTAACCCTGAACATCGGAATCGTCGCATTGCACAAGCAGGCCTGGCGTCTGCAGCAGCCGCTGGTATCTGGGACAAGGTTCGTTCGCGTAGTCGCGGCGGTCGAGATCGCAGCAAGTCACGTCTCAGAACCGGTGTTCCGATTGCAGCAGCAGGACTCGGTGGTGCTGCTCTTGCTGGACTGTACGAGAAGAATAAAGCAAACAAGGAGGCCAAGAGAGATGCTGTTATCGAGGATGAGATTGATCGTGGCCGGCATAGGAGCAGAAGCCGGTCGAGAAGTAGGTCTGCACCCGCTCCCTATGGCGATGATAGACGCAGGAGTGTTGACGGACGTCCGGGCTTGATAGCATACGGCCACGATCCTATCTATCCTGAATCCCACCGCGGTCAATATAGCGATGAAGAACCCGGACACTACCGACGTCGTGGTGGCAGTGGCTCCAGCTCTCCAGACACTCGAAGACGTCGAAGAAGTCGAAGCCGTAGGAGGAACCTTGCAGAGGCTGGTGCTGCAGCAGGAGTTGCAGCCGTTGCAGCTCACGAAATTGGCAAGCGCAGAGAGCGCAGCAGAGCATCGAGATCAAGAGAACGAAGACGTGAGTATCAAGCACCGCGGGTATCAACCGCATCTGACACAGATGATGCAGGTCCAGAGGACGATTACTACGACGATCGCCGAGCAGACGATCCTTATGCTCCTCCACCTATGGGCAATTCCTATCCACCATATCAGAATAACGATCCCTATGCACAGCAAGCCTACCCTGGCGCAAACTACTTCCCGCCACCGCCAAACGGGGAGACAAGCGGCTACGTGGAGCCTCAGCCTGCTTATGCTCACGCACAGTATAATCCCGCTGATTACGCTGGTCAGCCTGCTACCCAGGCACCTTACGATCATCAACAGGCATACGATGGCTACGGTGAGCCTTATCCGGGCCAGAGCCATCACAATTATGCTCGTGACACTCAGTATGGAGACGAAGGGAGGAGAGGCAGAGATCCTGAGAATGTGAGTGCGCCCATGCCTGTCAACGATGAGGCTCCAACACCGCGCGAATCTCAGGAAGGTGGTACGTCCACATCCTGATGTACCCGCTTGCACATGGTAAAGAAGGTGTTTAGCTGATATGATGGTATGCAGATGGTGTAGCGACTCCACGGCCTCGCTCCACAAGTCGTGTAAGATTTGACTTGGAGTCAAACATCGCGCATTCGCCAGACGCATCCCGTCGAAAGGACGATGCAAAACGTGATGACCCTCGCGATGAACGACGCTCTTCCGACACTGAGGATGGCAAGCGTCGGCACCGTCACCGAAGACATCGCGACAAAGGCAAGGAGAGAGAACGAGATTTGAGACGCGATCGTGAAGACGGTGGAGGAAGCAAGCGTGACAGTACCGGACTCATGCGTGACAAATATGATCGCGACCCGGACGAAGACTCGGAAGGAACGATTGATCTGCCAGACCGCTTTGATGAGCAGGGCAATCGGAAGTCTGAAGATCCGCTGGCAGAGAAGATTAATGACCTTCTTAGCGGAAAGGGAGGTGCTGGAAACATCTTCAAGTCTCTGGCTGAAGGATTTCTGGGTGGTGGTGAGCAGCATGGCGGAGGTAGTGGCGGCGGAGGTGAAAGCGATGATGGTGGTCGTAGAAGACGATCACGTCGCTGAGATAAGAGGCGGTGGATTCTTCTTCTTCTATTCATGAGAGCATGGCTGCTCTTGTACAATTTCAAGATTTTGGCTTTGCATTAACGACAAGAACGAGATGATATGACTTTACGAAACGAACGCATGAAGCGCGTATAGACAGGTTTAAGTTTTGGGTTACCTTTCAAATGAGATGACTTTTTTATCATGCTGTGCCGTTCGTGCAAACTATGACTTCTCGCAGTATTAAACCAAACATACATCTATCTACCTCATAAAGTTCGAGAGCAGCAGAAGTGGTGACGTTCTCAAGGTCTGTCGATCGACTTCGGCTGGACCACCAATGAGAGGCGGCCTGATCTTACCTTGCCTTGCCGTCAAACATCCATCGCCATTGAACTCGGCAGCGCTCGCATTACACTTCACTCACAACACAACATGGCGTCCAAACTTGCGCCATGGGCCTTCAGGGCGCCGTCACAGATGCTGCGAAGCTCCATCAAGCAGCAGCGAAGAGCATTGCAGGTGTCGAGCGTATCGCGAAGCGCATCGCTCATGGTCCACAGAAAGTCGGTACTCTCCCCTTGTGATCGCTGGAGGACCTGCTAACCACACAGCAGCACCGAAGTCAACAACCCTGATATCCCTTTCGAATTCAATGCGCAGAACAAGGAGTTAATAAAAGAAGTCCTGAGCCGGTACCCATCGCAATACAAAAAGGCCGCCGTTATGCCCCTGCTCGATCTCGGCCAGCGGCAGCACGGATTCACCAGCATCAGTGTCATGAACGAGGTTGCGAGGATACTGGAGATGCCACCAATGAGAGTATACGAGGTGGCTACTTTCTACACCATGTACAACCGGAATCCCGTGGGCAGATTCCATGTTCAGTGCTGCACAACGGTAAGATGCGAAGCGTGGGGAGAATGAGGCAGGGCAAATGCTGACTCTGAGCAGACACCGTGCCAGCTGAACGGTAGCGATGGCGTTATGAAGGCGATCGAGGAGGAACTCGGTATCCACCACGGCGAGACTACCAAGGACAATATCTTCACCTTCACGGAGGTGGAGTGTTTGGGCGCCTGCGCAAACGCACCCATGGTTCAGATCAACGATGACTACTACGAGGACCTCACGCCAGAGACTACGAAAGAGCTTTTGCGCGCGTTGAGGGAGGCTGCAGAGAAGACTGGCGCAAGTGGCTGGGCACCAGGTCTTGCGGGCGAATCTGGCAAGAATCAAGTATCAGGCGAGTCAACAGGACGAAAGACCAAGCTGGGAGGAGCTGGATATACACATCTTGGTGCGAAAGTGCCTGCGCCAGGACCTATGAGCAGTCGTGTATCATGCGAAAACTCGGCTGGACAGACGACGTTGCTGGGAGACTTGCCCACGCCTGAACAGACGCTCAGAAAGGATGGGGTGTTATAGAAGCATTCATCAGTTGTAGATATGTACCAATGCAGCCATGGAGAGAAGAGTAGCACTGCCTCAACCACCCCCGGATGTTCAAATGTGCCAATACGAAGACTCGGCGCCCACGTGCCGCCAATGGGGATGGCGACCACGAGATGGAAGTCAGTGCACGGCAGAATGGAGATTCGCAGTGCAGTGTGTGACTATTGCTGGCATCGGAGGTCTCAGGAAGCGGCCGTGATGGGGTCTTGGCGAGATTCTGTGCGGCATTGGACACAACCCCCGAGTCTGAAACGGCCGCTGACGCTCGAACCGCGCCGAATCTGGGCGGGAGCAACGCCACAGAATCGACGTACGGGACATGAAACCCGTGGACGACGTCCTGACCAGACCTCATTTTCGCGCTCGGACGTCGTGCGATGCGAAGCTAAATGCGAAGCTAAGTACACTCTCCGATCCTCACGCTTTTGCTTCAACAACCTTCACCTTCACATGCCGTCTGCTGCTAGCATGCCTATCGTCCTCACTTGCTTCATCTGATTTGACATCAGTTTCTTTATCATGTGCCTTTGACAGGTGCTCTCGTACTCCTCACTCAAACAGCTCTTGTCATTCGTTCCCCAAGTCGCTCCTTTCCACCGTCCTTCACTGAGCTCGAGGTAGCCCCCGACGACAGCAGACATACATCCTTACCCAGTATCCATCTCCAGCCTGCCTATCCAAGCAACGAACGATCGACATACAAGATGCGGTACTTGACTCCGATCCTCGCCGCGTTGGCGGTTGGCATTGCTGCCGTGCCTGTACCAGGTACATACAATAGCATCGCATGTCTACAACAACATCCTAATCTTCCCTACCCAGCTCAAACGGCGCCTTCCCAGCCCTGCCCATCAACCGCTCTCAAGCAAAGCCAATCCGTAGTCTTCGGCTGGCAACTCGCCGGCTCAGCAGCCAACGCCCAAGACCTCGACCAAACCTGCTCCCACCTCCAATCCTCTGCCAACCAAGCAACAACATGGTCCCAGCTCGGCCTCCTCACCACAACAATCCAAACCCCAGTCTGCAACGCCCTCGAACCCAATGCCGAAACAGCTCTGGTCAAACTCTCCGCAGCCAACACAAAAGTCTTCACGACCCTCCTCACCTCCTCCTTCGACCAATCCAACAAATCCACCTTCTCCTACCTCTGCGACAATATCCGTTACGTCCAACTCAACGGCTTCCTTCTCGATTCCGCCACAATCGTAAACGCGACCTGTCAGCTGGGAGCCGATTCTCTCCACCCACAACCCTTCACTACCATCGGCGGCGCCACGGCCAATCAGACTGCTGTGGAAGCGTATAATGACGCACAAAGCAAATTATTCGCGTATACCTATGCTGCTTCCGCCACCTCGACCGATCAACTTCAGACTTTTTGCGCGAATTCTGCGCAGCCGGTCAGACAGGGACGTTTTGATCAGTTGCAGCTTGATGCGAGTTGCGTCAAGTCGACGATCTGCAGTGTGAAGTCGCCTTTGTCTGTGGATGATGCCAAGGCGCAATTCACCAAGTGGACGAGTATGGGCTTCTTGGCTGTGATTCAGAATCTTACGAACCAGCCTGGCTATCTGAAGTGGTTGTGTCATAATTTGGATGTTGGGGGTATGGATGGTGTGGGTTTGGATGGCAAGTTGGTGAAGGCTCAGGTGTGTCAGAGGGCTTTTCCTGGTGAGAATGGGAGTGGGAGTTGGTCGTGAAATTCCAGGTTGAGATGGGTGATTCGAGAAGGCATTGCCTTGCCTTTTCTGCTGTGGATGTGAAATTCCCTCACGACTCCTGATTTCTTACTTACTGTTCTGTTCTAAACATTCTTTCCAAAGTACATACGACCGATATATTTGTCTCTTTATGAAGGTAGCGGCGACTACAGTGCAGCAGCAAACTCCCGATCCATCTTCTCAGTCTCCATACTCCAAAATCATGAATCGATCGCACTCACCTACCACTACTGACTGACTCAAAAATTTAAAGGGCCAACAATAGTAACAATCAACAAGAATTTCCAGCAGGACTGAAACAACCTGAAGCCAAACAAGCATCAGAAAAATTTCCGATGCACGCACGGCCATCGAAGCTCTAGACTCCAGCTACCTCCGTTCAGGCCTTTGTGCATTAAGGATTACGTTCCGCGGTGGTGAATTGGTTCGAATTGCACGTAATAGCATAATTTAGGGTTCATTTGCCGACTTCCGAGCAACCAATCACATACCACTCTACCTAATCCTTTGCCTAAAGGCCTGAAGCTAAACCGTCTTGTTTCTTAGTGCTTGCAGCTATTAAAATACTAACACAACGCGATACGCGAAATTAACTAAAGCAACACTTAGAGCTTATAGCGCTACTATTTCCGAATATAGCGAACTAAAAATCAAGTCTCTACGACGTATACGCGTTAAGTTACACTAATTAAGCCGAGCCTACTTCTATAGCTTTCCGCCTATCTAAACACATCGATTCTTAACATATCGCTACGTAATAAGACAACACTCGGAGGTCCTTGTCCTAATTATTCCGACTAAGGCCCCGTTATCCGAATTTCTATACGACTTCTTATTACTACTATCCTATCGCTTAGCCGAAGAAGCCGCTAGAAACACCTCTCCGATTTTTAACTAAACTAACTCGAGGCCCTTCGGAAAGTACTTCCGATCGACTTTCTTGCTATATATATCTACGCCTAGTATACTAGTATTAAGTACTAGTCGTCGAGCCGACGCTAGTTACTTTCGACTAAAATCGACTACTCTAAATAGTTAAACCGATACGCGGAGCTTCGAGTCTAAGTATTTCTTTATATATTTGATTCTTAGTTTATACGGTAGCGACTACTTCCTATCGAGATATAGCTCGAAAGCAGACGCGACTTTAAGATTAACTAGCGTAGCTAGCTAATAATAGTAGACTCCGACCTAACCGAGTTTACTTTAAACGACTAGCGCTAAGGCTAAGATCTAGGCTCTTCTAATCTTACTAGCATTGCTAACACTTCGGATCTTAACCGCCGCGGCTAGGAAGAAGATATCGGTATAGAAGATAAGCTAGAGGATAATAACAATAAAATAGAAAAGATACTATCGGATTTTCCTCTACTAGGCGAGGGATCTAATCTAATCTAATTAGGCCTATCTATTCCAGTTATCGATCGAGCTCGTAATCGCTAGCGCAAGTACTAGATAAGCGATTATTACAACTCCGAGGCTCTATAACTAGACGAAGAAGGCTGCGGGTACGAGTCTAAGATATATCGATAAGCGAGACCTAGTCGACTAGCTAAGAAGGCAATTAACTATATACCGCTACTAGAAGACGATAGTATAACTAAGGACGAGGATGCTAACGCTAATAAAGAGAGCTAAAGCGAGGGTAAGATTAAGTAAGAGAATCGGGCCGGTAACGTATCTAATAATAATAATAGCGATATACCTACCTAGTAACTAGGCGCTCGCGGCCTCGAAGAGATAGATAATAAGGAGGCTAAAGATCCTAAGCTAGATACTAATAGTTAGCGCCGTCCGAAGATAACTAAGAAGAAGAAGTATAAGGATGTAATAGTATATATACGCACGCTCGGCATTAAGTTTAAGGAGATATTATATATCTAGGGCAGTAAGGAGGGCACTAAGACACATCGTAAGCGCCTCTGTGCTATATAGGACCTATAGCTAAATAAGCATCTAGTTAGTGCAGTTAAGCTGCGGAATAAGGTAAAGAACTTAATTAGTAAGAAGTTCTTCGATATATACAAGCTAGAAGAGAGTCTTATAGAGCTACGCAAGCTCGGAGAGATGTTCGATATAATTAAGGACCTCGTACTAAACTAGACCCGACTCCTAGATAGTTATCTGCTCCTAAACACCCGTAATA